AATCACGATGACGATAATCTCGATAGTCAATACTTTACATCCGAATGATCGAAAATTACCAGCCAAATTATTTCTACCTATCCAACATTCATAATACACCGGGGCACGGTCAGCGTCATACCTCCATTTAAGTTACAGTGTTCAATAGTAGAAGTGCAATTTTTAAAGGACTGTCTTTATTAATGTGACTTTAGTTGGTAGCGGTTTGGGAGACGTGCACGGACTTCTGGAACTTTTAGTGAATGTCAGCTCGGTCGAGAGGAACGCGTCCGCTTATCTACATGAAAGGGTAGTATACAAATACGTACTTGTATTTAGGAAGCATTCGGATTCCACATAAGCATAAACCTAAAGAAAAGTTAAATAAAAGATTACCGTCATCGTCTTGTATGATGGCTTATCAAATGCCGTAATCCCATAAGTATTTAGTCACTTCAGATACCTCCCTTGAAACAAATTTGCACAACGGCAAATTTCAATATTATCCACTCAGTTAGCAGATACTTCCAATGGTGGTTTTTGATCTGTGATATTTAAATGGAAATTAATATATATTTAAAAAACAGACATAATCCGTGTTATACGTAATATACAGCAGTCTTCATATGCACTGCAAAGTGTTACAAACGTCATAGGCTACATTGATATTAGTGAACTGTTATGTTATTTTTTTAATTTTCCATGAATATGTGACCAGTTTACTTCAAAAATTGTATACTACGGCACACCTTTTGGTTCGGCTTACACTTCTCCATAAAATGTGAACGTTCCAAAAATCATAGAGGTTTCTTGGAATACAAAATGGTTAAATTGGTTAATGTATGTTTCCCAAAATTTTGCACGACCCAATTAACATTGCTAAAGGAGGTGTTCTACCTTAAAACGTTACCGCGTATCAATTAGCAAAACATCTTCCTTCAAGTAGGGACTTTAATGCGAATGATTAGTATTGCTATAAAAATTCAGAATCCCTGGATAACAAAAAAGACTTGGATAATGCTGCATGATAATCTGCATTACAGCTATAGCAAAACAGCCACTGGTAATTCTACTGCTTCATGTGATAAGTTTTTTTTATTTATTGCCGCAATAACAACCCTCCCAAGCCCAATTCTATCCCATTTTCAGACGAAATCTGCCTGCTAAATGAAGTTATGGTTTCGGCTTAAACAACTTATTTCTTTCCTGTGTGCAACTATTCTCTGTTGGGTGTCGCTGCCGTATGTTTTCAGCAGAGATTGGTTGCCTCGGGTGGTGAGAATGAATCTATCTGTTCAACAGAGATGGCCTCCCCTTGTTTGGTAAAAAGAACATTGTTATTGCTGTGAACGAAGTAGAGGTATTGGACTGCATCGAAAGCACTCATTACACTTGGCCTTTAGTTGCGAAAATTTACCTTCGCATCTGGCGTACCGGCCTACTCAGCCTCTTTGACAGGAATATCTGGAGAGTTTGCAGCAGTTGTCCGTTCAATCTGGAACGTGGGCCAAAGCCTGTCCAAGTTAGAATTATCCAGCAGCAATCTAAATCGGAATCTGGGATTTTCCACGAATCTTTGGAACCTGCGTCTTCAGAAGCTGCATCTTCTTCAGAATCTTCGCAATCGGCGACAACGAAATCTGCGTCTGCTGGCACCAGCTTGCCTTTCTGCTTGCTTGGTTACCAAAACGATGACAACTGCCATTCAAACTTTCCACAGGACACGGAACTGGGGGGTTACAGTCAGTGCAGTAGAAGATGCGGATGGCCTTTATTTGCGTTCTTAAGGGTCGACTATGTGATTGGGTTAGCCAGGTTCTACGTTACATTGCGTTATGGACGACTGTTTTAGCTTTCATGCTGCAAGCATTTATTTTCTGTGTTGGCGACATCGCCCCATTTACCGAAGTAGTAGATTTAATACTCGAGTCATCTTTTTTCACTACCAAGCAGGTCCGCTCAATTAGGTTGGCCAGCTTTTGGGCTTTGATCTATAGGTGTACCAAATCACAGAATATATCCAACGGACGCGAAAGTATGTTCTTTACAGTAAAAAACTGATTCCAGTTATTACTTTTTTCCGTGGTAAATAAGGAAATAGAGGAAATATATGTCTGTAAAGGACAGGTAACATAGTTTTCCACAATTCCATTTTAATGACCATGTGATCAACCCAATGCAATTTAATATAAACTATCACAGAGACACACCTTGTTTATCTTCTTCGTGTACGTTTGCATACTGTTCATACTGATAAATTTAGTAGATGTCATGGCAACATTGTTTAAATTCACTGAATAACCAAACGAATTACAAAATGGTACTGCGCCTAATCTACCCAGGTCCGCGAATGGTCAGCCGCCACATTCGAGAGACTGCTTGTTTGGCAGCTTACCTTCACTGAAGGTCGTTAAAATATCGGCCACCCAAAAGTCAGCAGCCAGCGTGTGATCTTCATTGCGACATCCTCCAGTCGGTTCTTGGCATACCTCTTTAATGTTGTTTCCGAGAATATCGTCCGACCACTACGAAGATACCTCTAGTATTCGTGAGGATATTCACATTTAACAGTGCAGTTTGTGGTAAAATCAGAAACCACATTCGCTTCGGCAAGGCTGGTGTTGAAACGCAGCTACTTATTAAGTACCTTAAACACCGAGGGTCCTCAGATTGTTTGAGTTGAGCGATGATACCCATTTCACCTATTTTTAGTGGCTTCATTTTCAGTCATTTTAAAAAATGCTGAAGGCTAATGTTGAGTTGAGATTTGTTTATAACAAAAGTAAGGTCAGGAAGGGCACGAATCTTTTCTTGACTCAAAGGCATTCATCAAAGCTAATCATCCTTTTGTGAAAAAATGAGTATTTTACATAATAAAACGACAAAAATCGAAATCGGGCCCAATTAATATGATAGGCAGCTTTCTGCCGAAACTGCCCAGTGAAGAAAGACATAGGTGCAGTCTGTTACTTATTTTGAAAGAAATCGTATGGTATAAACTGTCTTTTCAAACACCTATAAAATGCTTAACCTTTCAGTTAAGTCTACCTTGCGCTAAATTTAATTCAACTGTTTCTAATTGGCAAGCTACTGTGCCAGCATTGCCTGCACCGGAGATCATTCAGAAACGTATTTATCTCTGACCATGAGCTGCAAAGAAAATGTATTATGCTAAAATGCCACAATGCATAGCAAACTCTTGATGACTTTGTTCGAACTAAACAGGACGTTTAATTGCGATCCCCTTGAAATTAGTGCATTCCAACAATGTGGCCGTTTCTTACTTCGTTGACAAACGTATTTTAAAAAGAAGCGGTTTTTCCTCTTGCGTGGAAAATGCCATGTCTAAATGTGTTTGCGGTAATGATGCTTACAGCGAGGTAAGCAGACCTATCTCTCTGGAGATCATGACCCAGTTTGTCCTTTACTTTTGCGTGTCTTCCGTCAACGACGATGCACTGTTTGTGTGCATCACTGAGCTCTTCGTTCTGGATAAACTGGTTTATGGAGTGGAAAAACTCTGGCCGAAATGTTGTGGGAGACTGCCGCTGTTGACTCACGCTGCCTGCCTTTCTTCGCCGCGCACTTGGCAAACGCTGTCAGAAGCCGTACGCTCCCCCCTTCTCGTCGCAGCCAGCCTTGCACAAGAACCAGCCAATAGATGACCGCCTGTCCACGGGGTTACCTGCAACTTCACACTAAGCCCATGCAACAGGCAAGGCGGAACTCACTCGGCCTTTCGCCCGAGTGGACGCGGTGGACGCGAGGCTGTGGCGCTCTCTCTCTCTCACTCCTCATAGTCGAATTCCACCCCAGGCCGAGTCAACCCTTCTGTTAATTATTCTCCTACTGATTCTGTACAGAATGCACTTTCCTTCTAACCTGGCTACCACGAATTATATCTTCATCTAAGGAACCGGGCCTAGAAGATCGCAGTAGTTGGGGTTTAACCGGCTAAGCCTTAACTCCTTTGCGATAATGCGTGAAAATTCACCTCAAGGTGTGGTATTTTTTAAAACAGTGCAAGCCCCTAATAACGCCTACGGTGCCCACATTTGGCGCAAGGTTTGTCCAGCAAGTACATCACGTACCACATTTTGGAGGGCAAGCCTTTAACCTAGAAACAGGTACACGTGCCATGCCACAGCAGCTTTATCGATTTCCACTTTAAATTTTCCACCACACTCCAATGCACATTGCTCTGAAGCTGCTACAAAGACTAGACGACGTACGCTATATTTGACATAAAAATACGCAGATTTTTTGTCTCCAGGCAAAAATACGCGCGTATGTGATAATTGACTTTAACCTAAGGACAGATTGTGGGTTGTGTTGTTTACGGAGGCTGTGCTAATGACTTCATTTTAAGTGCACTTTGTTTCTCCTGAAATTTTTTTCCACTAGCCTGACAACACAATTTAATGCAATTCAGACAGATACATTCGTAGGTGGCGCTTTTGCTGTCAGTCATTAAAACCTTTGCATTTGAGATGAACTCACTTTGTCAGTAGCTGTTTTGATCTTGCAGTTTTACACACTGTTCTTTACGCCCTTAATTTTATTGTAGTTCGGAAGCGCTTGATTTTTTGTCAAGGAAATTGATTTATTTAGCTAGACTAAAATTGGTTCGTTTTGCATGGATTTGGTCTGCTTTCCGTTGTTTTCGCCGTCCCGTATGATATTTAGTTCTGGCGTTCGAACAGACCTTTCTACTGGTCATTTTTAATCAATTGGTAGACATTTTCATTGATCCTTGTTGACCTTTGAAGATTTATCTATAGCTTGTAGAAACAAAAATACATAAACTGATTAGCATTTTTACATATAGAATACAGCAGTCTCCAAATTCCTTGTAAACTGTAACATCTACTAGTGTACTGAAATGCTATTTCTTCTTTGCAAGCAATGTGCCATCATTTTACTTCAGGAATGCTAAACTGTAGTACACTGATCGGTACGTTTAGCATTTATGCCTAAAATGTGAGCGGTCATAAAATCAAAGAGCCTATTTCGCCTGTTCGTCAGAAATATTTGGAGTGTTGGGAGCAGTTGTCCATGCGATCTGGAACGTTCGCCGTCGCGTGTCCATGTTGAGAGTAGCCAGTGACATTCGGAATCTGCGTCTTCGGAATCTGCGACATTAGAATCTGGGACTTCTTCCGAATATTTGGAGCCTGCGTCTTCTTCAGCATCTTGAACTCTGCCCTTACAACAGAGATCGCCTCCTTAGTTTGGTGATAAATTAATTTGTCATTGCTGAGGAGACTAGACACCAGAAACCAGAATCAGCCTCTTCGAGCTCTACCCCAGCTGGCATGCAGC